AAAAAAAAAAAAGACTTAAAACTCTTTTCTGACAATCTGATGCATAATTTAAACAATGTTTTCCAAATACAGTTGTTAAGACACGTCAACCAATCTCCTCCAAAGGTCTAAGCAAAAAAAAACAACAACAAAAAACAGTAAAATCATTTCAGAAATAATAAATGGATTTCACAGGAGGGACATCTCCAGGATCATGGACCAGTTTTACAAGTTTTGACTCAAAAAAAAAAAAATTTGCTACCGATGAAGAATCAAGCTCTGTAGACATCAGGACTATTCCACAATGAAAGGGTTCTTCCAACAGGTAGCTATTGCAGTGTTTAATATTGGTCAGGCGACACTGCTTCTTTTGTCAGCAGTTCCATCTACTGCTAAACTATAGCCCTGACTTCAACTACACAGTTCATATTCAGTCCTTTACTCCATGCTGTCTGGGTCTGCCTGGGCCATGTAAGCATCCAGCTCTGCGTCCAGGTGACCTTTGGTCTTTGACATATAGGCATCAAGTTGGTTGTCGAGCTGTTCACGGGTTACAGCTGGCCGACCACTTCCTCTACCCCGCCCACGACCACGTCCTCCTCTACCAGCGAATCCACCACGTCCACGAAGTCCACCACGGCCTGTACAACAACACACAAAGCAACATAATTTTTTTTAAGTGACATTATAGCCCTTTTTGCACTGCAGGGTCTGGCCTGGCCCAGCCCGGCTCCGTTCGACCCGGTCCCATTGGTGCTATGGCTCTGGTCGTTTTGCATTGTGTTGGATACGTCACATAAATCGACTTGTTGCTAAAGCTACCGAGGCGATCTCCCCAGCGACCACAGAACAGTTTTCTTCTTGGGTCTCCCATCCCACTTTTTCTGTATGCGCTCATGAGCAAGGAAGCTGAGAGAAACATTTATCTCAGCTTTACATTTAACGGGAAAAAAATCTCATCTGAATGTTGTCTCTGAGCCCAGTGTTTCTAAACCTTTTTTGGGCCAGCGCCCCCCTAGCCTTTATCCAGGTCCCTCACCGCCCCCACCAAAGAATTTGTAGGCTACTTTGCACTGACTATTATTTTACTATTAATATTATCACTATTGTAGATGTTTTGATTTTTATGCTTGTTTCTGTATTTATCATCAAAAATAATTTCCCAGAGAACAAAAAAGCCATGGAAATAGAAATTATTTTCACAGGCGTCTATGAAAAATGCAATGAACATTCAACTTTAAATTGGTAGGCCTAACAGCAGCCAATCAGAGTGGAAAAAATATTCTTGTTCTGTGCCATTTTGTAGTTGTTAAATAAATGAGCAGATAAAAGATGTACAACATGCCAGTTTAAACTTTGAACTATTTGCAAAACGACTGAGCTCTGCAACATTAAAACATGGATAGAACTGTAACTAGATTAATCATAACTCTTCTTCTCTACAGTGTTTCTGTGAGTTTCTGGTGGTGAAGCTCTGTGCTGCCTTCAGGAGAATGGGACATCAGAGTATCATCCATAAAATTTCACCCACATGGCATTAACTGTGCAAACCAGAGCTTTCAGGAGGGGCATCACTTATCATTTATTGACGCTCACCATCAGTAATCTTCACTCATCACCTGCTGCGCCTCCTAATCATCATGCGTTTCACATCATGCGTTGATTGTTCACTGTTCAGCGTCGGATTCTCTGTTTTTATGCCATAATTCACATCTAGTTCATCACTCCGTTTTATGTTCCGCTTCTCCTGTTTCAGTTTTGCGCAATGTGCACATCTTTTTTTTTTTTAACCCCCTATGGTGCGCAGCGTTCGGAAAATGTATCGATGGGGAAAAGGCAGACTCACATAAACCTTTTAAAACAATGGAAACAATTTCGGTATTCTGATTATTGAAATTTAAAAGTGCTGTGGCACCGTTGTTCTATCACACCCGTTTTATACCGGACCACTTGCTGCACCGATGTTAACGCTATAAAATGAACGCTCTCTATTGTGGTATCACCATGGAGGGATTTCTTTATTTAAATGGGTTCATTTTTCAGAGGGATACACAGTGAGGGTGATTTTAGTAATTACATGTTTATAAGAGCGATTTTCTGTTGTCCTTCCATGGAAGCGGGCAGCTTTCAAATGTAAATAAAACACTTTTTAATATAAGTTGCTGCTTTGACATGATCACAGAACTGCCAAAACATATGCACAAAAATGCCAGACAAAGTGAATCACAGCAACGTCATCAGCCGGTGTAACGCTGAATTGATGCAGTGAAGCTACATCAATAGCAGCTGCGTCAAGAAGCTACAAACACTGAAGAAGAAGAGCTGCTATCGATACCGTTGCAGATAAGCATGATTTAATGTTACACAATACAGTCTTAGTTTTCAAAGTCTAAACTGGTATTGTTGTGCATTTAAGGTGTAAAGTTTACCTTCAATCAAATGCCCCCCAAAGGAATCCCAGAGCCCACCCTTTTGTAAAAATTTCTGCCAGTGCCCCCTGCCGCCCTCTAAACGGCCTCCGGGGGGCGGTACCGCCCACATTGAAAACCGTTAGCCTAGCCGACTTCTGATCGGTTCAATTGGAGAAATGTTATTTACATTTACCATTATAATCTTTGGCTGAAGAGGCGATTGTAATCAGCACAATTAGGGTAAGAATAGATTATGATGCAGCCATAGAGAAAGTCTAGTGCTCCTCTGATCCAGAGATCTGGTCTTTGTTCCGCCCCCACAGCCAATGAACCAATCAACAGCTAACTCCAACAGGCCCGGTCTGGCCGGCCCGATTGGAACCGCAGCTCTCATGGTTCCAGGGAGCTGGGTGGTACCGGTCTGGAAGTGCTAATGCAAAAACGACTTCGAAGTCGGGCCGACCCGGGTTCAGCTGTGCAGTGCAAAAGGGGCTTATGTTCTCTATGGTGAGATGGCAACTACTCTTGGTTAATTAAAAAAAAAAAAAAGAATAAAAAAAGCAAGTCAGCTCTTGCCTCTTGCTACTCCACCTCGACCTGCTCCTCTGGACATCACTCCTCCTCGCCCAGAAGGTGCTCCACGGTAGCGGCCTCCTCTACGGATCGGCATGCGGCTAGCTATACCCCGGCCTCGCATGGGGCCACCTGTAGGAATTCGCTTTCCTGAATTAATAAAAGCCATTGTATCTTAGCTCATATCTTGCAAAATCATCATTTAGCTTCATCGGCTGCAAAGCTGTAGATACACACCCCTCAGGGACAAAGCCCCTCGCATGATTCCTCCTCTGACTCCTCTAAATCCTCCTCTGGCCAGTCCCCGCAAGCCACCTCTGCTCCCAGCAGGTCCTCCACGCATTAGAACTCCTATGGGCCGGCCTAGTCTGGCTTGGATGCTACCCTTACCCAGGCGTTGCTTTAGGCTCTGACATGAGTTAAGGAGATGCATTTGTGACAATCAACACAGGAAAATTCAACCTGGAACAACCAATCATTAAAGTTTACATCATGGAAAGCCATAAGAAAAATATCCACTTTAAATAAATGGTGAATGAAGCTGCTTCTTCATATATACTCAGGTCATTTAGACTAATTATGGAGCAGAATCATACTTAAAGGGCAATGTGCTTCCTCTACTTGTTGGCAAAACAGAAGGGCAGTCAGCAAGCATGGGGGTTGCCCTAAAATATTGGCTCCAAACCCAATGGTTATAGAGTTACAACTTGGAAGGAGCATAACATTCCAATGAAGTCAAAGCTTCAGGAAGGGCACTAATAAAATCTTTAAACTATTTCAAAGCTTGTGGTTTAGAAAATTAATAGAAAATACGTATAGGAATAGAGCATTTAAATGTATTTGTTCAGTATGAGAGCAGCGGTCAAATTAGGATAAGCTCAACAGTTAACCCATGCTTTTTATTGTCAACAGTTTCATTTGAAGTAAAAGCCTGGCCATCTCCCACTCACTTGAACAGGTGTTGGGTCCCCTTCTATGTACACTTAGTCCTATTAACACTTGCTTCTGTTTTTATAGTGGTTTGGAATAGATGGTGGCTCTGTATATCAATTTATTTCACATGAGATTTGAAAATTAAACAATTGCAAATATCTTCCCAAATATCAATCAATATCCCTTTGTGTAATTCAGTGGAGATTCAGATCTGCCTAATGCTCCTTTTTTCACATATTTAATCATGTGCTTGCATGATTCCATCGCAATGTGGAAACAGAATGGAGTGGATCTCCTCTCCAAGCTGAGCTTGCTGTTAGACTGATTGCTTCAAGGCCTGTCAAGATAACAAATGTTACTGGAAGATAAATTGTCCCGGAAGTTATTGTGTTAAGTTATTGTGATAAATAATAATATTCTGACTCTGTACCATTTGTCCTCAGGGTACATATCCCCTGATCATGATTTAACTCCTGACTCCAATCGAGTCAGGATTGGGACATCCTTCTTTTAAATGCTTTAGCTTTAAAGTATGTAAACATCATCCATCCTGGTCCTCAATACAGACACACCACAGGGCTATGTACTTTGTCTGGTTCATTTTCCTCTGTTCACACATAACTGTGTGGCCATCCACTCTTCTAACAGGGTTCTGAAGTTTGCAGATGATGCCACCTTAGTGGGTCTGATAATAAACAATGATGAGACTCTGGACAGAGAGGAGATTCAGGACACTCAAACCATTTGCTGCATCCTAAGAATTGATTGAGACTTTGTTTATTTACTCATCTATTTATCACTCAGGATACTACTCCAGTTTTGTTATGTTCTAGAAACATAGGCACATATAAAAAAAAACCTCTTACATCTATGCAGTTGGTACGGGTAACTGCTGCTCAACTTGATAATATGCAATGTAGGTTTCAATTTTTTTCTTCCTTAATAATGAATAAAACTGCATTTTGTGTGTACGTCTGTCTTTGACTAACATTTGAATTGGTTAGATGTTCTGAAAGTCTTAAGTGTGACAACGATGCAAAACAAAATAGGAAATCTGGAAGGGGTAAGCACTTTCTCACACCACTGTACTTGTATTACTTCAAACTGTAACCACTGAGACTAGCTGAGGCTTTGTCTTAATTTTATTTTATTCACCAGGAAGTTCCCCTGATGCAAGAGCAGGCTGATCCATCTCCTTAACTCACTTGAGCTGTAAAAACAAGATTCAATATTTTTACAGTGCTTCTGGAGAAAATTAACTACTGGCAACAAGTTATTTTGGCTACAGAGCAATTTTTAGTTTTATTATTACGTAATAAAAGGGAGTAGAGCTTCAGCAGACCATTATCGGAACTTGATTTAGTCACGGTAACCTTACTAGGCCGTAGTTTATGTTACCTGTTCAGTAGCCTATTCCAAGAGAGCCAAAACCCAAACAAGTGGTTCAGCCTTTTTTCTGACCAAACACCACGACCCACTATGCAGAAAAGGAAATCAAAAGATCAGATGTTTCATCTTACCTGCTTATGATTTAGAGCTGCCTGGACTGAGGGCCGGTTCTCCATCTGCTGGGCCAACCGGCGATTGCGGGCACTAGCCAAATGCTGCTGTTGCATGGTGGCTCGAATGCTTACTGCAGTAGGCTGCTTGTTCTTCAGCATGTTAGTGAAGCTTCAGATGTGGGAGGGAAGAAGAGGAAGGAAGTAAAAGACAGGGATGGGATGGGAGCAGGAGGAGGAAGCATGGTTCCACATCAAAGTTATTATTCACATTATAGATGCGGCTATAAAGATTGTCAGGGCTCATTTCTGATTATTAGAGGGCACCTTTTTTCTTTTGCATAATATACTAAATTATTCATAAATTATTCATGTTTAGGCTTAGCATTACAATTTTACACAGGAGAGGTGAATTAGAAAAAAAAGGTGAGAAAACAGATCTAAAGACGAGACAAAAGGTTTTAGAAAAAGAGCTACACTTTGCCACTTACAGGCCTCCAGCTGATTGGCAGGGATTTCACCATGCTACAGCAGAGGCCCAGGACATTAGTTGCGACTCAGCCACTTACAGCATGGACCGTGACTTGCAAAGAGCCCACTGAATGTGTGGTGTTGGGCAGGGAAGGTCAAGGGGGAAAGAAATAAAAGTTCTGTCACGTCCAGGCTTGGACTGAGTTTGTGAATTTTAAGGAGAGAGAAACAATAATAGAATGTGTGAATAAATTAGCATACGCTTCATTGAGAGAGAAAAACATGAATCAGTAGCACATGGAGCTGCAGTACTTCTCAGTCCTGTTTGAGCCCTCCTGCTCATCTTTAAAAATGTATACATCATGTATACAGTTCTGTGTGCTCATAAACATGAGAGCTTGCCATGGACAGTGGTGTGTTTCAGCACAGGGTTAACAGCTTACCATGCATGACCGCTACCCTTTTCCCTTATCTACATGTATACACTGCTTACACAAGTAAGTTAGCCTGGGCAGCCCTCTTTTACCTAGTATGGCTTTGACATTAAATCCACCCAATGTGTTAGAAAATACTGATACGGACAATGTTGAATGAGCAGTGCACACACTGGGAAGGGTCAGAACAGTATCCATGTTGGGTTCAGTCCCACACAGCAGCCTCTTGAAGAGATTACAATCTTAACAAGCCAAAGTTGGTCTTTGCATGGTGCCTCACCGCTCATTGAGAGACACTTTGGTGGTGCTTTTCAGGACCACTTTTTGGGATGCAGCAGCACTCATTTTGAGAAGTTTGATTGTAGAATCCTGGAAAACAGAAAAAAAGACATCACTAAGCAATGGGCTCTTTGCACCTCAGCTTCCGCGTTTGGGGAAAAGCGGCTCGATTGTTTCCGATCTATTGAAAATGCCCTTTTACACGAGGTGCTTGCAGGGCTTGGCCACGGTTTGTACATCGATCCGAAGCCCCAACAAGTAAGCTGGAGAAAGGTTTTAGATGCATGCCTCGTTATACATTTACTGATACGAAGGTGAGTTTTACTTAAACTTTGTGGCTAACATTAACCTTAGCTTATGCTAGTAGGCAATATTCTCGGACATTGTT